TTTAAACATCGACGCAATTAGTGCACGACATCGTATGAAAAAATTACGAAAATCTAAATTTTAAACATTATTCCGTGTCCAATTGCATACAAGATAGAGTTTAAAAAAACGGACGTATTTCACAAAATAGATAGAAGACCACTGTTGTTGGTGAGAAGTTGGGAACAGTGGCGTATAACCTAGAGTATTTGCTCAGCAAATAACTTAAATATGGGTGGGTGGGTATTGCTAGAAGGACAAAAATGAATTAATTACGTGTTTAAGGAAAGACGGTATTATTATTATTATTATAGAAAAATATAAATATAATTATATTATGTTGTGAAGTATTTGAGTGTTTTTAAATAACACAACTGTTAATTACTGTACGAAAATGTAAAATTTAGATACCTGAATTCTATATTTTTTTAATGGACTTTTAAGTTTCTGGTGTAAATTATTTTTTTTTTTTATAACTTTGCAATCATTACTTTTAGAATAATATTAAAAAAACATCAAAATCCGCTCAAAGTCATCCCGTTTAACGGTACAATAACATTTAAGCTATATTTTATCGGTAGGTTTAACAATATTATGAGGCGTAGGTCACCCAAAAGTAACACCTATGTTTTTTTTGGATACGTCACTGATTAGGAAGGTAGGATATAGAGGGAAATTTAATGTATATCTTTACGCAACGATTAATCATTGTTAACAAAAAACGATTCTGTGCGGAGTTCAGTTATACATTTTTGAAAGGATGTAATATTATTTACGATTTTCACCAAAATTTGGTATTAAAATTCTACATTACACTCAATTTTCTTTTCACATCATAGTAAAACCAATAGATCCTTCGCTACGCTCCGAATCTAAAATAATAAAACTATATACGTTTTACGTATAATTTGTAAACAAATCTCAATTTTGGGAGTTCTATTATTTATGACTTATGGAAACCGTACAAAAAAAAAATTGAGCAGCCATTTATATACTCTACAATATTATTAAATTTGTTCAAATCTCAGAATGATTTTTCAAACGCAATTTGCATAGTAGACTACATCTACTATGATTTAGCGTTTAAATATTAAAAATATTATAAATACGTCACATGACGTATGTGCTCGAGAACGTACTGTAATAGCCGTCCAAATAATCTTATGATATTAAATACGTCGTATAACTGTATAAAGATTGCAAATTTATATATCTTACAGATTTAATTATAAAATGTAAGTACTGGGACGGATATTAATTTCAAACGGATCCGGTCGTCGGACAGACGGGCGTACACATAGTAATATTTTGACTCGTTTACAACCCCTAACCTTATATTCCTTTATATACGTCACGCCGATTTAATATTTATGACATTTTCGGTTTGTTAATACTTTGTGGTTTGATGTGGATACGTTTACTATAAATAAAATATGTTACACAGAACTGATAAACATAAAGTCGACAGTTGCGTTTAAGTTTTCTTGGTTATTGTTTATAACACGGTTCAAGATAATATTGATGAGATTGCATATAAAACACGTAGATGCGTAATCAAATTATAATTAGAAAAAAAAAAAATCTAAATTAACGGAAATTTCCATTTAGTAAATTATCCCGTTTTATTACGTTTTTTTCGATTTATGTAAATATGAAATCTGTATGTATATTTTTAACAATAAGCACATTAGATGACTAGAATATAGTTTACAGTTTACATTATAATCTTAAAATTAAAAGTAAATAGACTTTATTGAGTTAATAGAAAATGCAATTGATTAATAGAACTTTATGTCATGATTTTTTTTCAATTTAGATTTATTTAGTAATTTTTCTTTTACGGAAATCAAACCTTTCTTAATGCAATCAACTTATAGACTAGATGTTATTTCAGAAGATGCTGCGCTTGAATATTGAGCCAAGATTTCTGTTGGAAATGTTGTTAACAGACACGAAAAATACTATACATTATATTAAACCAATTCATTCCTCGCTTTACTCAGGGTCTAAAAAACATTGAGGTACCTACATTAAGCTCAAATATTTGAAGGCAAACAAAATTCATTATACATAAATAGAAAAATTATAATATTTATACCGGTTATCCTTTAATTAGATACAACTAACTATACTACCGGCTCTTTACTTGACATTTTCAGAACATTTTGTGTTCCGGTAATATAGGTCGCGCGGATTTATTAGTTAGTAAATTCGAAAATTATCTAAAAATTCTAAAATATAAAATAAACTATGTTATGTTATTTCAAACATTTTTAGTGCCTAGGGGGTAAGTAAGGTAAGAAGGTAAATACTACAGGAATTCATTCCGGGTTTGCCTCGGTTGGTCAAAACCAACCTCGTAAACAATCTATACCTATGCCTCTGTACAGGCTGAAAGAAAATCATGGTGCCAAACTGTCGACCCTCAAATATATTCGGTGATCGAGTCATATTAGCAGGGCTCGGTTCGTTATTAAGGCTAAAATAAACAAAATATGCGTAAAATTAAATCTGAAATATACAGAAAAATTATTCAAAATAGATTTTAGAATTTTTAAAAATATCGTACACAAAAAAATATTGACATGATTCGCACGATAGGTGACCAATGTTGTAGGTGAGAGAAGTTAAGAAAGTATAGGAGAAATTTAATGCACAAACATTAAACAATTAAACATTGCTTACAAAAAACGATTCTGAGCGGAGTTTGGTTAATATTATTACTATTGGTGAACAATAATAGGTACATATATATATATATATATATCATATTGTGATAAAAAATAATTGTATAATATTCATATTTTCTTTTATGGAATTGTACCGATTTTCCGGTTTTTCCTATATTTTTTCCCGTTTATTAGAAAAACAGATGGATAAAATGGTTTTGGCCAGCACAACCAGTGTGTCATCACTGTCGAGGTCATCATAAGTTATATTTAGTAATCAAAAAACAAAAATCCTACGGAATGTAGGAAATTTAAACAGAAATCTTAAAATCAAGGTATCTCAAATTTTCAAAACATGTTTACCCGAATTTCAGAACCGTTTTTCGTTTGCAATAGATCATCGTGTGGATTTTTTTTTTTTTAATTAAATTATTATGCAGAACGAAAACGGGTTTTTTTTTAATATAGAGTACATTATTATTATAATATAAAATATTAAATAATTAATCGACTTTCACGAAACGAAGGTTGGGTAGGTAAGTACGGGTGAGCATGTCTGCTGGTGAAGTTAAAATATTGTAATAACAGTTGCGTACTCATTTAACATTTTCCATAAAAAGTATTACAGGAAAAATAAAAAAAATAAACTATTACCTGCCCGGTTAACCCGGCGGTCGGTAATGCGTTCATGTTGTACTTACCGCAGATTTCCCCGGGTCACAACACGACGTCGCACATTTTCGCCTGCGCTTTGCGGACGACCGGCGAAGAAAACGATAGTCGGATATTAATTTCACCGGCTACGACAACTATGGGTTCGAGTTTTCGCGACGGATTCGTAATAATTGTTGCGGAACGATCGCGCTAGGCGGTACACACAGCTCGTACTGTTATCGATTGTTATCAATCGACTCTTTTCTACGGTCAATATTACCCGACAGCATAAATAATCATCGTCATCGGCTATTCTGTTTTCGGCCTACTGTACGTCGCGTGACGCGGATGTTGGATTGCCCGCGGCCGGAAAAGCGCGCGTCCGCCGACAATCGATACCCAAAACCATCCGGTACCGCCGCCGTCGCCGAATAATAATTTCGCGCGAGACCGACGGCGAAACTAATGATAATATCGACGACAATCGCCTAGGCGGGGGGGGGGCGGGGGGAAACACTTC